TGTTGGTCGATTTAAATTGTGTAATTGAGGAAATGAAAGTGGGATTCCAAAAAAATATCAAAATAGGATTAATGGAACGATCATTTTTGACATCGGTGACGTTTATATTAAATGGGGGCTATGGTATGGTACAACCTAGAAAGTGGTAAAGGGTGGGATATATGATGTCTATGCCATTAACTAATAAATGTTGTAGTGGATGCAAACAGAAAGACAACAATAGTAATATATCAAACAAGAAACAGAAACAAAGAAAAAAGAAAAGAAAACGGAAGCAGGATGAAAGAGGAACTAGTGGAATAGCGATTACGGATAATAAGTTGGAAATAAAAGTGTAAAGGTATTAAGGAAGCAAGGTGAAGCTGACCAGAGCCTCATGGGAAGGAGTGCAGCCTCGGAATTAGAAGGTATGTACATATGGCAGGCCATTCTACAACAGATCATGAAAGAAAATAGGCAGTTGGTTAGCTATATGGTCAGAAAAAGGATCTTGATTCATGTCTCTCAGAACACCAAGATCACACAACGATCCACTTACAAAAGGCTGTCTCCATCCGCATTGAAATTGGCTCTTGTCATAGCCGTCGTCGCTGCTGGTGGAGGAATTGTAACCAAGATGTCCCTGGAGCAGAGTCCTGCTTGTCACCATTGTTCCTGCACAGCTAGAGCAGAGCTCATGTTCGCCCAACATGCAGTCCTGGAGGCTGATATCGGGAGGAGGTGTCTGCAATCCAAGTGCTTGGGTTTGCATGTCATTTTCGAGAATGAACGATGCAGTCAAGGCGACAGATTGCTTAAAGATAAGACCACTACCGCCAGTGCCCACAAAGACACCACAATGATCCTTGACCTTTTGGTTCGCAGTGTAAATCGTGTTAAGCATCTCTTGCCAGCCGCCCTCGCAAAATGGAAAATCATCTTCCATCAAGCCCAGATAGGTAGAGTCCTCGACGGTGCCAACCTTGCGGATTGCGTTCACAAGATGCTTGCGCTGGTTCTTTTCTGAACCTTCCTCGCGGACCCACTTGACATGCTTACGAGCTTTGGGGATCCTGTCAAAGTAGTCCCTGGCGTCATCGTATCCAGGAAAGTCAGTAAAGTGAGTGAAGACGACAATCTGGATCCTGGAGTACAGGGGGTCGGTTTCCTCATCGGGAAAGTTGGCCAGGTAAGACGAAAGCGTTTCCTTGATATAGGTCGTTCCTCGCTTCCTTGGCGCTGTCATCAGAACCAGCGTCAAAAGATAGTCTTTGTCTGGTTCAATGCTGTTGTTGAGAACATCATTGGGCACATCTGTCCTGAGAGTGTGAAGTTGGTTGCTACCAAAAAGGACCAGCGCGACGAAAAAAAATGTTGGCAAAATGTAGGCAAGTGTCTTCCAGGGCGTGGTGCTGTTTTTTTTCTCCTTGGATTGAGGTCCTTCGCCAGTCGTGGTCGAATCCGTGAACTCATCATCTTCCTCGAGCATCGCCTCAAAGACCTCGGTTTCCCAGAGTTGCTTCTCAAATGCGGATGTCTTCACCTTTCCGCCCCAACGTCCCATTCTGCGTTGATAGACAATGAGTGTTGCGGCTGCGAAGCCCACGATGACGCCTGAGCTTCCCCACCAGACAGTGGCCTTGGGAACGACATTGAGCAGACAGAGCACCAACTGGGTGTGTGTCCGTCGCAGGTTCCAGGACGAGACCGACTTTTCACGCGAAGCTGGAAAGAGGGATTGGATGATCAGCAGTGCAAAGAGATATGGCGAGAGACCTGCAGAGTAAATATAGACATTGGAACGATTAGACAACGCTCGCTTGACCAATTTTTGATAACACCCTGCAGCCAGGCTAGACATTGGGTTTGGGAGAGGTCGATCACCCTTGCCGCCGAAATAAATGATCGTCTAAGCATCCTGTTGTTGGCTGATGTCGCTTATACTGCTGCTGCTGTTGTTGTTGTTGTCGTTCCTGTCCTTGTGCCCGAAATGACAAAAGAGAATTGACTAGCCTGCTTTTCATTTGACCTCATGTCCTTGTCCCACATAAAAATAGCTTTGGCGAGAAAGAGGAATGTATTTCTGTTCCTTGTGATGCCCCTGTTTCCATTGAGGATCATTCTAGCGCAATGTGATAGAACGCGTTTCCTTACCCAGGTTGCATTCAAACATCGTATCGCTGAAGAACAGGTTGGGGAATTGCCATCCAGTGGATCTGGAAAAGATAAAACCAAGAAGCTGGCGCAAGCCCATGATCAGGCCCATCATCGCCAGGAACAGGTTGCGAAAGACCCTCGATCCATTGCCGTTGAAGATCGCCGTCAAATGGTCCTCAAAGAGTGCAAGAGACAGAGTGTTGGTGATCGCCAAGGCAATCGAGGAGACGAGGCCAACTTGTGCCGCATCCAGTAACGCGGGCTTCAATGGAATAACAAATGGTGATGCCAAAAGCGAGAGATATTCACCGGCATAGAGCACATGGGATGGTGCCGTGCAGTGTTCTGGGAACTTGCCACCGAGGGCAACTAAGGACATAAGAATGGTCAAGGCTACAACGATTCTGGTGACTGGCTGTGAGAGGAGGCCAAAAATTGAGATGCTCGGGCTTGGAGGTGGAGGAGTGTTGGGAAAGTAAGAGGAGGCAGGGGGCTGGCTGCCAGGGGTTCCTATCGCAATGACAGTGCTAAGGGGTGGTGAAGGAGGTGCAGACGAGGCGAACGTCTTGAGCTGGTAGGAAGTTGGAGACTGAGGTGGCGTTGGGACCGTGGTTGTTGAGCCTGCGTTCATGGGTGCCGGAGAGGCTGGTCGTGATCCAGGAGCTGAGGATATGGATGATGCATAGGAGGCATAGGTAGGACTCGAGGAATGTGGAGCAAGGTGCTGTGAAGAGTGCTGTTGTTGACTCATGAGGTTTCTTTGTTGCGAGAGCGAGGATGTGGAGGAGGGGACAGCCATGAGGATGGCAGCCGGCTGGGGTTGATGTTGGTCGTTAAAGATGATTAAGAGATGACAGAAGGTGAATGAGCGATATAAAGACGCAGAGGTGATAGCCTATTAAAAGATGGAGAAAGAAAAGAGCAAGAAGGGAGAGCCAGGTCAATATGAAGGCCACCATGCAACTGGAGGGAGGAGGGGGTCTTATTGTCCTGCGCGGGCTTACTCTCCGATACCGACATGGGTCTCCTGGAGCCCCACTCTACACCCCCATCTCTTGCACTCTGCCTCGTCGATTTAGCAGGATGTATATTGGGTCAAGCATTGTCGTTCCTTGCCGCTCCGTCTTTTTATTTTTCTCTCTTTCACACACCCTCTCACTTGCAGGCTGCTGTCGCTATCCATCAAGGAGTGGAGGGGAAGAAAGGGCAAGGGTGACGCAAAGGGACGAGGAGGAATGGATATAGAGTGGACGAGGAATGGATATAGAGTGGACGAGGAATGGATGCACTTTGCTGCCCTGAACAAAGGAGGCAAGGTCTGTTCTGGTGTCTGTTGTTTTTTTTTTATTTTCCTTTCCCCTGGCAGTTTTTCTTTACTGCTAGTATTTTACCTCTGGAAACAGATGGATGAGATGGCGAAAGAGGGATGGTTGTCGGGGGAAAAAGACAGATGAGAGCAAGGACGACTGGAATAAGGGAGAGGAAGAGGAAGGGGATGAGGCGGAGGGTGGAGATGAGGATGGAAGAGGGTGAAGGGGATGACGAATGAATCGAACAAAGGATCCGAGGGAGATGAGGAAAGATAAAAGTAGGATTGGTGCCTTTTTCAATAGAGTGAATGCATCCCTCACCCACACTCATTGGCTGGCTGAGATGATATTTCAGGTCCACCTCTTGTCTTGAAAAGACTTCTGCCACACACGCACTCTCTCCTATTCTCTTCCCCACTTCCCATCTTTCCTGGCAACTTTATTGTCTTATCAGCCCTGTTTCTTATTTTTATTTCTAGACTCCACCTTCGGTCTCGATATCCTTGAAACCAGATCACTGCCGCCAACGACGTTTCCAACGTGGACTTTTTTTTTCTTTTTCTTTTGCTTGCATTTATTAAAGGGTGTTGGGAATCACCCTGGTGTGTTCGAGAGCATTGCCTCCCTTTTTCTCATCTTGGTGGTTGAGTGCTCTCTCTCCGAATGTGGCTCCTCTAAACCAAGAAGAGGGTCAAGCTAGCTAGCGGGCAAGGCCATTTCACTGGTGACAATCAGCTATCTTTCCGTGCTCTCGCCCATTGGATAACAACAACCTTAACGTCAATAATGTCGCACGAGCGAAGAGAGGATTCAAACACACACACATTCACCCATCTTTAAAAGGACACTAACTAACAAAAATCATTACCAGGACCCATGAGAGCCTGCCAATGGTCGATGATGTATGGGCAAAACGGAAATGTTTTGTCCAGCCCTCACAACTGTTCACACGCTTTCTCTTTATGTCACTCTTCCTCTCTTTTACACAGACTATACACGGCCATAACGCTCTGGACAACCCAGCACTTTCTCCCAGAGTCGCCAATCAGTACAACAGCCTAGATGCGGAGAGAACCAGGGAGAATGAAGGATTGAAAATATAATTGATTTCTGCATGTGCGTGCATGCGTCGGTTCGCACTGCAGACCGTTGCTCAACGTGTGCACAAAATGTAAAAAGCGAGCGTAATTTGAACTTTGTGTGTGTACGGCGGCGTCTTCGTCTTTTCATGTTACACCTATTGCCGAAATCATACTCTGGGAATAGTCTATAACTGCCCATGCGGGTCCTTACCTATGTCATCCCCATTTGACCATTCGCGGAGATTAAGAAGAATGTTGAAAGTAAAAGACATACAGTACTTCATAAAAGACTTGAAAGGCGGCCATATTTAAATTTCTTCAAGACATTCAACGGGCACAGACATCAAAAAAAACGTTTTTTTAACCATTTTCAACAAAAAAAAACTAAAAATAGATATCCACGTGATATTTATCACGTGGATTATCTGTGTTAGTATGAAAAAGGTAAGTAAATTTCAGAATTCATCAAGCTGTTCCAGTAGCGAAGGGGTTAACGCGTCACTCTTACTAAGTGAAGATCGGCGGTTCAAATCCGTCCTGGAACATTATTCTTCTCAAGAAGAACCCAATGGTTCTTCATTTTTTTTGGTCGGAAAACTGGGGGACAATTCTATCTGGCAACCCTCTGATTATTAACGCCACTAGAAAGCTGCCCGTGGGCTATGCCACGGGTTGGGGTTGTATTTTTTTTTATTCAAAGTCTTTTTGAACACGATGTTACAGGTATCGCAAACTGCTT